ACTCAGGACTGTCTGTTATTGGCCAAGCTTTTCTACCTAGCAAGGACAGTGTTTGTTTCTTCTGTTAAGCTAGAAGGCCCTTTGTGGTCACTCATCGGTGTAGACAGTGGTCCGTCCTGCACGTGGGAGTCCTGGATAGACACAGCAGGGCTCTGTGTCATGGCTGCGTTCGCACTGGGGCAAAGACAGGAGAGAAGACACGTCGTCAGCCCTTGGTCCTTGCCGTGTGCTCTGACAGCAGACTGTGGCTGTGCCTCTGAGCAGTGTCTCTCTTTTGTTAAAATATCGATGGCTCTTTGCAGTGGAAAATTTGAAACATATAAAAGTAGAGACAGTAATGACTCAGTTTCCCCCTCACCCTGGCTCACTAATTACTCCTCAGAGCCAGTCTGGTCTGTATTTCTACCCACTACCCCCCACTTGAATTACTTTTAACCAGATCCCAGACATACTATCCTTTCATCAGCAAATACTTCAGAGTATATCTAAAATGTTTGTGAAAGATGCCTTAAAAAACAGTCCACAGTGCATAATCACCCCATCAAATGAACTCATTCCTTAATATGATCAGACGGCCATTGTCCAGATTTTCCTGCTGCTTCTGTGATGTTTGCTTTAGACTATCTAATTTGGGTTTGAAAGTGGCCCCTACGTGGCAACCGGTTGGTGGTTCCTAAAACCCCTGTAACTTATAGACTCCTTTTCCAGCGCTCTTGCGTGTCACGGTCCGGTAGCTTGTCACTGCCAGCGACTTACTGCTTGTCTCCTCATGTGTTGTTTAGCTTATTCTTCTGGCCCAGAAATTCTCTAGAAAGTAACAGCTAGATTTGGTGGCTTTGTTCTCACTGAGAGGAATTCATGCTGATGACTGTTTCCTTTCGTTTCTTTTAATCTACAGCCACCAGAGTGTCCTTCCGCAGTGACATGGTATTCACTTAGAAGATGGTTTTCCTGAATCGTTAAAGATAGGAAGCACCCACACACCTGACTGTCCACAGGGGTTTGTAAAATGACTGTGTTACTTTTCGGTTGCTGCCATATTAAAGTGGCGCACCGTGACTTAAGGTGTGTTTGTTGCCGTAGGGCTCACCGTGTCAAAGCTCAGCACGGGGTCCCAGAGCAGGGATCACGACTGCGCAGGGCTGTGCTCCCTTTCGGAGGCTCCCCGGGAATCCGTCCTCTTGCCTTTTCCGGCTCCTGGAGGCCGCCCACATCTCTTGGCTCAGGGCACCGTCCTTTGATCTTCAGAGCCAACCACGACATGTCTCTGAGCCTTCCTCACATCTCCTCTGACAGCAGCTGGAAAGGTTCTCTGCTTTACAGGACTCCTGTGATTAAGCTGAGTCCAAAGATAATCCAGGCCAATCTCGCATCTCAGATTCCTTAATCTTAATCACATCAATAAAGTCTCTTTTGCCGTGTAAGGCAAACTATTCACAGGTTCCAGGGATTAGGCCAGGACTGTGAGGGAGGGTCCATTGTGTTCCTACCACAGTGACATCCGTCTTTTAGGGTTTGTACCATAGTAAAGCTGAGGAACGATTCATACAGTGTGATGTGACCAAACAACCTACTGCGATATCCCAGTGCCTCAGGTTATGGACAGAGCGGGCAGATTACGGAGTGAACTATTGTTATGAGCTGTGTAGAAGTTTACTGGTTTTAATAGCTTATCTGCGTGGTTCTTGTTTCTTACACGTTTGTGAGCAGCAGCATTTTATGTTGATCATTGTCTCTGAACGGCTGTGACCTTCCCTTAGAAGTGCTGCTTTTGAACATGAGCAGCTCAGGTAATTGATGTGATTATTAGTACCATCCAGTGTCTCAATTATCTTCTGTGTCTCTGGACTGAGGTGAAAATTTATTGTCACGGTAACCATGCTGAAGGTGAGCCCAAGTCTTGCAGAGGTTATCTGAGGGGAAGAGAATTTTTTGTCCTCTTTCTGTTGTACATTAGAGAGCTGACCTTTAGGTGTTAAGTCAGGCAGGAAGTGTGAGAGGAAACAGTATAATGCAGGTATTTTTATTCATTCACAATCCGTGTCTCCATGAGATAAAGCAACTTCAGGCACAGTGACTTTCTTCTAATCGAAAACCCTAGAGGAATCTCCGTTCCTGTTTTTAACTTTTTTACCTTTTTAATTTATATTGACACTTGACCCTCCATCCTAAATATAGATTATTCTTCGGACAGGTTTAGAATTTTACTGTAGCACTGATTTTCCTATAGCAGCGCTAGGCTGATGATGGATTTCTTTTGGAGACTATCCAAGTGGTTGTTACTAAAGACCAAAGGACCTCATTATAAAGTCATTTTGCTATAAAATGGACCCTTGGAATAGTCTCTAGAGGCAGCAAGTCATTTATAGCTTTAAAAAAGTGCATCGTGTCAAAAAGTGTCGCTAAGGGATCCTTACCTCACACCTTCAGTTTAAATAAATTCCAGATGAATTAAAAGAATTCAGTGTAATGGCTTAATTCTATAAAAAGATTTGGAAAAAATATAAATAGACGTTAACGTGACCGTAAGCAAGAAGACCCTTGTGATTTCTGCAGTAGACATCCCTCTAGGTTAAACAGTCCTGGAAACCTCCTGGTCCTGGGAAGCCACCTTCACCTACTTCACATCACTTGGATGAGAAGACTCAGCAGACTTGGCCTCAGAGCGATCTTCCCAGTGTCCCTGAGAGCAGAGGGAGAAAGATCCCCACAGAGACGCCGAGGCTGCCTTGCTAAAAAAAAAAAAAAAAATTATCAGACTTTAAAGAAAGAATCTAAATAACTTCATAACCTATTTTTTCTTTAAATTTTCAAGAACCAGAAAAGCAATACATCTTTGTCTTTTGAACAAAATATTTTAGTAGACATTGTTCTTTATCTTACCTAATAATCTATTATGAACTTTCAATACCAAAATGTAGACAAACGATTTGGTTTAGCGGGTGTGCACTGTTTCACTATCCGGGTAACTACGAATTTACAAACAAATCCCCATGCTCGGGCATTTAGGACGTTTCTAGTTTCTCATTGTTAGAAACAGATCACTCTGGGTCCAATCAGGAGACAAAAAATTGACAGAGAGGATTTTCATATAAAGAGTTAGAAAGCACAGCAGTGGGTAATGTAATGAGGGATTAACTAGCAGGAAGTGAAGAGAACTCTGAAGAATACAGAAATGGCCGGGTGGAAGGCACCGTTGCTGAGCTTAGGCAGAGAGTGGCCCTCGGGGCCCAGCACGTACCCAGCTGTGGATCACTGGATTTCAGAGAAATCGTGGTATGTGTGCTTCTCCGTCTGTCTGTCTGTCTCTCTGTCTTCTGTTTGTTTGTTTTGGCAGTCCCGGGGTTTGAACTTAGGTCCTTAACACTGAGCTACATCCTTAGCCCTTTTTACTTACATATTTAATTTTGAGTCAGTGTCTAGCTAAATTGCCCAGGCGGGGCTCTAACGTGCAATCCTCCTGCCTCAGCCTCCCAGAGTGCTGGCAGTACTTCTGGGCATGTGCCACCACTCCTGACGGCGCCGCCTTCTCGAGTGCAGTGGGACCTGTTCACAGGCACGTGTCTCACTAGAGGAGCGCTTTTCATAGAATTACCAAGGGCAGGAGTTGTGTAGGAGAAGTTGGAGGCCGCTGAGTGCCACTTCTGTTGAAAGCCCCCATTGAGGGAGAAGTCTGGGGGCCTGGGCGCACTGCGCAGTGGTAGGCAGAGCTCATGCTTAGCGTGAAGGAGACGCTGGCTGCAACCTCCAGCAGCCGAGACAGACCAGAAGAGGCAGACTGAAGTGAAACCCCTGGAAAAGGAGAAAAAAAAAAAGGAATTAAAGAGCCCAGATCCACGTTCCAAGAGCAGTCAGGGTAAATTGAGATCTGAGAGCCAATAAATTTATACCCAGTGCAAGACACTAGTATTTTCGGGAACGTCCTCATAAATATTTCATTGCATACTGCTTGAATGTCCTCTTACATACATCCCTAGACTCAGGATTGGTGGATTAAAAGCGGCACCTTTGAGAGCTGTTTCAAGAGGAAAGTGTAATTTATCCTGGTACCCCATAGCACCTGGGAGCCTCTGGTTACTCCCTCCTTGCTCAGCCTTGGGTGTCACTGTTCTTTAGTCCTTACAAGCTGGTTAAGTTTTTAAACAGCTCATCATTTTAAAAATTAGCAATGTCGAAACTTCTGTGTGTTTTTCTGTTTTAAAAATTTTCTCTAAATTCTTCTGTGCACTTACTAAGTTCTTTATATATTTTAAAAATGGAGGCATTAACCTTTTATTACTGATTTAGATGCTAGTGTGTAAATAGCTAAATTTTATTTTATTTTCCACATTTAAAAATTTAAATCTAAGCGACACCACATGCCGGCCGCTCCTGGAGTGGGGACAGCCCCACCGAGGCCTCTCTGGGAGTCAGCGCCATCCCGGCCTGGACTGCGAGGTGGGGGAGAGCCAGCCCTCGCCCGGAAGGGATCTGGGTTGGGCTGGGTGGCTTTTATTCTCTTCTGTTTTGTCTGATTATGTTCAATCCGATGGCAGGAGCGGCTATTTGAAAGATAACAAGACATATTATGGTTGCTCTTTTGGATTTAATAGTGACTTGTTTTGAAGTCCGTTGTTACATTCACTGTTTTGGCTTTGCTGTTTCTATTCTGTTCTGTTCAGTTTTCACTGTGTCTGAAAATATCTGCAGCAATTTTGAAGACAACAAAAGGCAATATGGTAGCTATTGTTGGTTTTGTAAGGTTTTCAAGTCCTGTATCACATTTTTTATTGGTTTTATTGTTTTATTTACCTTGATTTCATCCTCTTTAAAAGAAAAAGAAAAAAATTTGAATCTTCTGGGTATCAATTTAGAGTAAGGTGTAAGTTAGGTATTTTTTGTCCCAGTGATGTTAACCATCTTGTCTCTTATACATTGAGTTGTGTGACATGCCTGGTTGATTTATAAATCTTCAGTTGGTTTCCTTTGTTTTTTAGTTACTTTTTGCTTTTCTTTTTCAGAACAGGATGCAGGCCTTGATGCCCTTTCCTCTATCATAAGTCGCCAAAAACAAATGGGACAGGAAATCGGAAATGAGTTGGATGAACAAAACGGTAAGAACAAGTATGAGATCGATCAGATTTGCCTTTTGACATAAATACTACAGACTGGGTATTTGTCAAATGACACCAGTGGATTGTCCTGGCTTCGTAAAATTGAGGGTGGCTTGTGGCTGATTTAGGTTATAGCTGTAAGATACTATGTAAAGAAATTTGATTTTAAAATGCCCAGTTTTCAGCAACTGCTTTTTAAAATGCTTTGTTTTATGGCCTGTTTATCCCAAGAGCTTTTCTTTACATGGCAGCCGTGTGGCTGCCTGTGCTTGGTACGCTCTGATGTAACGCGTCAGCGAGGCGGTGTGGTCTTCTGTCAGCTGCCTTCCTCCAGGGCTTTGCGCTTCTTCAATCGAAACACTGGGCAGCGGGCACGAGGTGTCCGAAGGTCTTTTTCAGGACTCGAAGTGGCAAATCTGATTGGAGGAGGACCGTGTTGCACACACAGCAGACTGGCCTGGCAGAGACGGAGCTCTGAGCCGGGAAGCAGCAGGGAGGCTCCTGTCTTGGGCTGTGTGGTGGGCGGGCAGAGCCTGAGAGGGTCAGAGAAGGAGGGGTGGAGGAGGCAGGAGGGAGGCAGGCCGGGGCTGCTGCGTCTGCTGCCCACACCGTGAGGGGCGTCCAGGGGAGATGCTGGTTTCCAGGTGGGGAGCGCGAGGTCAGCGTAGACGTGTCCAGGCAGAGACCAGTGAGAGGGCCAGGTGGAAAGCCGAGCTGATGCACAGCAGAGCCGGGAGAGGCCAGCAGGGAGGAGAGGCGAGGCGGGAGAAGCTTAGCCAGTGCTCACAGAAAGGCCTTCCTGTGTGCTAAGTGCTGTCACCGCCGCGTTTCGTTTATTCTGATGTGCCGTAAAGGTGCGTCATCTTCTTTTGTTATAGACAAAAGTCCAGGTGGCCAAAAGAGCTCATAATGCCACATTATTGATACGTGATGTGACTGTGTTTTCTATTTTACCTCTGCTTCTTTCTGGAAGACAAATAAAGGGAGAGGAGACACAGTGACTGTCAGAGGTTTTAGCTTAGGCGACAGTTCTGTGGTGGAACAGCTTCTGTGGAGGGACGCTGTCAAGTACCAGCAGGCACAGGTGCCCTGGCAGTAGGTGAGGGCTCGCTCTCAGGGGAGGGCTGCACCTGCCTGACCTATGTGATGGGCCCTTCTCTTCCGGATCTGCAGAAAGAATGAGCCATTTATTTGTCCAGTAACATTCCATTTGTGTGCCGTAGACAAATGTCATCTGTTTATCATCACACAAAAAGAGATTCCTAAAGCACACTGAGAAGCCCTCTGTCCGTAATAGTGGTTTTTAATATTTCAGCAGAGAGAGGAGGACAGGCTGGTCCTTTGCTTGATGTTGCTGATGTGAATTGGCCAATTTTTGTGTTTTCATGCTATTCAGTTATTGGTCAGTTCCTTCCTTGAAACAATGTAAATAAGAAAATACAGAAAAACCCTGCCAGGGCCGGGGATGCAGCTCAGTGGTAGAGCACTTGCCTAACCTGAGTGTGGCGCTGAATTTGTCCCTAGTACCACAAAAAAGAAAGACAGGGAAGAAGGAAGGAAAGAAGAAAAATCTGCTTTTCTAATACGCAGTTGTTCTTTATCCCAAAGAAGTTTTTGCATGTTTAGTGTCAGACTAGAAAAGACATGCGACACTGGTGAAGTGTGTGTGCTGTACTATGGAGAAGCCACAGCATCGTGAGGAGGTGGCCGAGGCCGAAGGAGCTTAACTCGGCAGGGGCGGGGACACTAACTTCCCAAGAGAGAGCACTATGTTCTCCTCTAGAAGTCACCACGCCAGCACATCTTTACCTGGTTTTTAGTAGTTATCGCTACTTGCTGCCAATCAGTCACCTGGGAAGATTTAAAACTCCTAAACCCCAGGCTGTCGCTTTGTGAGTTTCGATCGCTGCTATAACAAATGATGCACAATCTGGGTGGCTTAACATGATGTGAGTGTAGCATCTTACAGACCTGCAGGTCACGAGTCTGACATGGGTCCCCTCAGGCTAAAACCGAGGTGGTGGCAAGGCCACGTGCCTTTCTGGAGACCCAGGGAGAATTCAGCTCTTGGCCGTTGCGGTGTGGAGAGGCACCGTGTTCCTGGGCTCAGGTCCCCTCTTCAGCATACCAGGCAGGGTCCCTCTCATGTTACACTGCTGCCTCCCCTTCCACTTTTATTTTTTAAGTATCAGGGACTGGACCCAGGGACTCGCCCGTGTTCGGCAAGGGTTCAAGGGTTCTCCCGCGAGCCACGTCCCTGTCCCTTTGTAGTGTTATTCTGAGACAGAACCTCGGTATATAGCCCAGGCTTGTCCGCCCTTGACCCTTCTGCCTGTGTCTTCCCGGTCACTGGAATTGTGGGTGCACACTTTTAAGTTCCGTTGTGTTGCATCAGCGCACTGCTACAGTCCAGGCTGGTTCTGACCTCCGGGTCAGCTTGTCAGTAACCTGCATCCCGCCTCAGTGCCCCTCTGCTGTCCCCTCACACGGCTGCGGGTCCCGGGACTAAGGCAGGGGCGTCTCGGGGATCATCACCGTCTGTGCGAGAGAACTTTATACCAGATAAAGGCCCAGGATCGAGTTCCGGGGCTCCCAGCGGGAGAACCTGCTGAACGTGCTGGGGACACATTTAGCGCAGCAGTTGTCAGCCGTGTTTCCATCGCCCCGTGACACAAGCCCGCACACGCGCAGAGCGTTCACACCATTACACGGTGTCACAGGCAGCCCGAGTCACAGTCAGGCGTTCTCGGCTCTCACACACTTTCCCCGCTCTCTGCGTCCTCCTCCTTGCATCCCCACCTCTTCTCCGCCCCAGATGGATGCACGGCGTAAACAAACAGGCAGTATTTTTCCTTGATCTGCCAACAGAAGCTGGGTATTCTCGGTGGCCGCCTCCCAGGGAGACAGCTGCTAAGCTGGTGGTTTCCCAGCGCGCACACTTTCTCCTCGGAGAGGGCAGAGTCAGCCATCTCCTCTCAGAGGAACTGAGGCTCTCTGAGGATAAAAACTGTGTTCCCTGTCAAGACTCTGGTCAGCGTCTCTTCCATTCGCTGATGGGAGTGAAGACCATTTTATCTGAGGTGGTAGGTAGGCGCAGGCTTGCGGCCCCGTCTGGATCTTTGTTGTGATCGAGTGTGTCGCGAGGAGTCAGGGGCTCTGGAGAAGGGGACCGCTTTCGCTGTAAATATCTCCATAGGATTCACTGAACCATGAATTATTCTTTTGGTTTTCATTAAACGAGAGAGACAACAGGCCAGGATAATGGCCAGCCAGGCCATTTTGGAATCAAGTATCAAAAGCTTGCTAACAAAATTCGTGGTACTTAGGCCATCACCACAGAGTGAAGGGTTGAATATCTTCAGTTCAGGAATTCAGTTTTCAGGCTTCGCGTTGTGAGTTAAAGAGGTCTGAGAGGAAACATTTAGTGCAGTACTTGTTAGTGCGGTACTGACCCCGGCCATCACCCTGTTCATATGCCAGGGACAGGATCAGTGGGAAAGCCGAAATCCCAGAAATGGGAACCTGACCCACCCTGGTGTATGGGGTGGCAGGAGGGAGGGGTGGCCCCATCAGGTTTGTGACCTGTGAGGATGGCTGGGCACAAAGAGCTTCCAGCAGACCATGCACGCAGAGGCTATTCTAAAACTGCAATGTGTTCCAGGTTAAATGCTTTACCTGAGAACACAGGCTTTTAAAAAAGAGAACACTTGGGCTGGGGATTTAGCTCAGCGGCATAAGTACCTGCCTTGCAAGCAGGTAGTCGTGAGTTCGATCCCTGGTACCAATAAAATAAATAAAGGAAAAAAGAGAACACTTTAAGACCAGAATGTGAGTAGTCCTGACCTGACTTGAGACCTGACGTGGGCGTTGGCCAGGCCCCGACCTCAGCCCCACACCGAATCAGAAAGATGCGATTCTGATAGCTGCCCAGGCACCAGGCACGGATTTCTGCTCATGCACGTGGCCTCGTCTGTCTTTTTGGTGCCCAGCCGTGCCCAGGGTGCCAGTCCGTTTGACGCTTCCCTCTCATCTGCGAGCCCTTGCTCGCTTTCTGCAGCAGTGAGGTGTTCCAGGCTCGTACTTTTCGGAGACGTCCTGATGTTGAGGTCAGTCGTTTCTTCCCGTAACCGGCTCCTGAGCTGTTTGGCAGCCGGAGTCCCAGTGCCGGCCTGCCCGCTGCTGCTGGGTGTCGCTGTGTTTAGCTGCTTCATCATTTTGTCATTAGGATTTCTTTTGTTTTCTTTCTTTCGATGGAGATGTTGCTGTCGTGCCCAAGCTGGCCTTGGACCCCAGGATCCACGAGAGCTTCTGCATTAGCTGGGTCTGTAGGTTATGTGCCACCAAGCCCGGCTGGCGTGATTCTTGATCTTTGCAAGTGACCTATTCTGGAACATTTTAGGATCTTCTGCTTGCCAGTGATTTCTTTACCGTGTACCAGCATGTCTTGATGTGGGTGTATTTCATCCATTGTGTTTTGTGCTTAAAGCCCCATGTAATCTAGAAGTTCCATTCTGGAAAATTCTCTTTACAGCTAACTTCCTGGTTTTTGCTCTCCTTGCAACTTTTACTGGTGAGATTTAGAGCTCTTCGATTAATCCTGTAAGTCTCTGTCTTGAGTTTTGTTTTTCTTTCCCAGTGCTGGGGATTGAACTTTTCTCCTCCCCTCCCTCCTCCCTTTCTCCCTCCCCCTCCGCCCTCCTTCCTCTTCCCTTCCCTCCTCCTCCCCTCCCCCTCCCCCCACCCTCCTCCCCTTCTCTCCTCCTCTCCCCCCCTCCCCTTCCCCTCCTCCCTTCTCCCTCCCCTCCCCCTCCTTCCTCTTCCCTTCCCTCCTCCTCCCCTCCCCCTCCCCCCACCCTCCTCCCCTCCTCTCCTCCTCTCCCTCCTCCCCTTCCCCTCTTCCCCTCCTCACACCCCCTCCTCCCTTTTCCCTCCCCCCCTCCTTCCTCTTCCCTTCCCTCCTCCCCTCCCCCTCCCCCTCCTCTCCTCCTCTATCCCCTCCT